TTTAAATTGTTTTATACATAAATAGCTGACCCGGCCACGTTTGGGTGTGGCTTGATTAATATAATATATTATTATATAATATTATATTAATATATTATTTTCAAATATGTAGCATAACCATGCAAATACTTATAAAATTTTTGAATCTGAGTTATCGGAGATAATCATTGAACACAATTTTTCAATGATGAACGACCAAAAAAATGTTTGTTGATATTATTGTTTATTTAACTGAAACTCGAACATTTTTAAAAAATGAATTAGTATTAAAGGTTGTTTTTTTTTTCCAAACAGTTATATAGATAATAATATTTAATTGAGTACTATTTGGTGTACAATATTTTTAGTTAATTTGTTTTTAGTTAATATAAACAAATTTGACGGTTTACCAACCCGTGAACATGCAACATAAAGTTGACCGTGGGAGAAGCATGGATTTTCTAAATCTAAACCGCAAACGGACATTGTCTGGCCTTGAGACTTGTTAATGGTTATTGCGTATGCTAATCGAACAGGAAATTGAAGCCTTTTGAATGGTAATGTGGTATCTGACGGAATCATTGGGATACGTGGCAATAGAACAATTTCCCCTTTAAATCTTCCTGTTAAAATGGTTGCTTCAATAATATTTCCGGTAATTTTTTTGATGACCAAACGTGTACCATTGCATAGTCTGGGTGGATTCAAATTACGTAATAAAATAATCGGTGATCCAATTTTTAACTGTAGATTGTGTGGTGGCATTCCTGGTATATCCAGAGAGTTTAAAAATTCTGTTGGGTATTGTACAGCTTCGTCTTCATCAACAACACTATCGATCGACTTAAACGATACCATATCACCCGGTATCAACTGCTGTATGTGGAAGTTAATTTCATCGACATCGACATTTCTTGCGGCTAAGATTGCACGCTCACTAAGCCAATCGTGGTTTGTGTAATTATTCAGTATAGCCGGGAAAACCTTTTCGATCAATTCTGATTTTGTCTCGACAAATGTGCAGAAGTTATCTGGCAATTTAATGCATTGTGTATTTGGATGCAATGTTATTCTACCATTGCCAATGTCCAGCAATTGCTCAGAAAATATTTGTGCTGATGAGTCGTTTTGCAATTGCACACGCATGTTAATGGTCAATCGAACTGTTTCGACATTTTGCCATAAAAATGACTGTTTTAAACACGCATTAATTTCATCGGCAAAAGTAGAGCGTGGAATAACTGGCAATGTCTGTCGGAAATCACCAGACAATAGTAAAACAGCACCACCGAATAGTTTGTCATTGCCATTAAAATCTTGTAAAGTTCTATGCAATGCTTCCAATGCATGTTTGTGGGCCATTGTACATTCATCCCAAATAATTATCGAACTGTTTCGCATTACTGTAGCCATTCCGCTTATTTTTTTTATGTTACATATTGCATATGGTTTATTATGAATGTCTAATGGCAGCTTGAGTGCTGAATGTGCCGTTCGCCCACCATCTAACAGAGTGGCCGCAATGCCCGACGTTGCAATTGCTAGAGCAATTTTTCCTTGCGATCGTATCTTTGCTAAGATAATAGATATTAAAAATGTCTTACCAGTTCCACCTGGTGCATCTAAGAAAAAGAAGCCACCTTGTTTAGCATCAACAGCCATCATAATTTGAGTATAAATATTTTTTTGTTGAGCTGTCATTAGAGGTTCATTATTTGTAACAAATGCAGCTAATTCAACGTTATTATATTGTTTTTCTCGCAGAACATCAGTGTTAACCAAGTCGATGGCCGGGCGATTAGGCGACGGCAAACCATAATGAGCAAGTGGTAAATTAGAAATTAGAATACATGAATCCTCAATCAACATTAATGCTTCGTTATACATTTCTGGCGTGTAATCTAGATCTTGATTTTGAGTTGTCTGTCTTATTCGGTGCAGAATATCTTCAGTCATATAGTTTTTGTATTTTTCCCATAAAGTCGATGATCGTGTTGGATAACATGTTGTCAAAATAATTACAAACAGTTGACGAATGGTATTTGGCGTGGATACTAACGCTGCGTCAGCAAGCGTGAGATCCCAATGATTGTCGTCTTCCAGCAATTTCAATACGCGACATGTATCTTGATATGAATTAAACACTCGACCGTTAACGGTGCGCAAAAATTCAAAAGATGTGGGTCCTGGAACATTGATTAACAACAAACGTAAAAAGAAACATTCACGTTGTTTTGGATGTACTGTGTAAAGTCGTCCTAATGTCTTGGCTTTTAATACACCGGGGATTGTTGGATGTGGTTCACCTTGCTTACGTGGCTCCCATTTTTTGCCTGATGTGTTCCATGTAAAATAACGTGGAACTTCTGTATACAATAGTGTGCGTGCGAACTGGCCAAAAACATCGGTTTTTTGACACAATGTGAAAAATTCAGTAAGTGTTGTTTTCGGTGGCTGAAGTGCTCGTTGGAAAATATTTTCTTTAGTGAAATATACACGTTGTCCGTTTTCAAGATGTACAGCAAGATGCTGCACAGCTGGCTCTTTATCGTGTACAGGAAAACTAAATATGCGCCAGATAGCTTCATTACTACTGATATATCTACCCATTTGGTACTGTGTTATTTCATCATTTTTATTTACATTTTGAACTTCGAATACTGCCAAATCATTGCCTTTGTTAACGTATTTGCAAATGTATTTTATAGACTTCACAGAACTACAAAACTCAACATTTATATGAGCTTTGTATGTTTTTGAAAGTAGTGGTGAGTATGGTACCACCCATTGATTATCGATTTCAACTTCGATAGCATTTGACATTCGCATCGTGAATGTGTGGCCACCATTCTCAGCGTTTCTACGTCGATACAATGGATAACCGTCAATATCTGTAATAGTATCATTAATACATTGTTTTGGGAATTTTTTTTTACATTTTCCATCCTCCATGCATGGAGATATCATGTTGAAAACACCACAGGGTCCGTGAATCATGTGACTGGTAACAATATGAAATAATTCCTGATCGATTGATGGATCTGGAATTTCGGCAGAAATTATTTGATCAATTTCTTCTGGATGGATTTTATCTTCAAGCCAAATCAGGATATGTGCATGGGGCAAACCGCGCTTTTGCCATTCGACTGAATACATCCAGCAACGTACTTCACCAAAAACCGAATATTTCACAATGAAATTCATCAATGATTTTAATTTTTGTTTGAACACGCGCGCAGTAATATCATGACGATGTGTCGATTGTTGGCCTGGTAATAGCAGATTTTTTATTTCTTCCCATTTCGGATTACATGTAAATGTAATAAATAAATCTGGACGGCCGTAATGACGTACATAAGTCATTGCATCTTGTGTATATTCCTGCATGTGCCGTGGACTACCAATAAAACTCGAGGGTAAAATAAATGCATTACCTATATCGTTTATATTTATTTGTTCATCGACATGTCCATTAATAGCATCTCGTAAGTGGATGTATTCTTCTGATCTTAATTTAGCCTGATTGAATCGAATATATCGCAAACGTTCACTTTCAATCTTTGCGTACATATCGACAACATATTGGTGGAATAGCTGGCGATATCGAAGAATATAATTATCCTGATTACGTCTTATCATCAATCGATGGGCATAGTAGTTCATTGAACTAACTTTTTTGTTTGTTTCACGACCTAAAAATTCATAATAAATTAAGCATTAATAATTAAAAATTAAAAAAAAAGTGTGAACATTTTTAATTGATTTTAAGTAAATTTATATGGAATTAATTGAAAAAAAAAATTTAAAAATACAAAATTAATTTTTCTAATAAATATATTTTAGTGAAATTAATTTAATGAAAAATAAAAATGTGAAAAATTAGAAATGAATTTCAATTTTATATAAAAAAAATTAATATAATCAAAAATTGAAATATTAATACCATAAAATAAAAATAAAAAATAGGCAAAAAATATTTAATTTGATATTTTACCAGTAGTTGAATTACGCTGTTTAATATTAATGTGATATTCATCCTGTCCTGCCCAAAATATCAGCGGATATTGTAGTGCATCGTAGGAACGGTGAGTGTCTGAAATTATGCTTATGGTGTTGTCTCGACGTGTAATTTTGATGGCTCGGCTGTCAGCTGGATCACCGGCCATAATAACTGCTACTTCGTCTACGGTGGGCGCGTTGAACCTTCCAGCATGCTCTCCTGATGGTACTCTATCAGCCTTAATAACAATTTGATAGTTGTCGTTTAATAATTGTGGCGATACACGTTTGAACAACTGAATAAGTTGGTTTCGATTTTCTAAAAAAATTTCCAATGATTCCACAATTGCTCTCTCATCTGCTCGTTCAATAAAATTATGAACACAGCGGGTTGATACGCGTTCTTCACAATTTCCCATAAAATAGATTTGCAGAAACTTCGGTTCAGTATCAGGCATCGGCATCAATGACCCAATTTGATGATAAACCTGACCTTGTATCTTAAATGTAGATTCGAAGTAATTACCATCGGATGTGAGATCACAAATTTTTGTTGCCCTAAAAGACGTCATTTGGAAGCAAGAATTAAACTTACGAATCTTGCTCAAAAATAATTTTGAATCATCAGATTGGCCAGCAAGAAGTGATTGTAAAGGTTCCAGCGGAGATGGAAGCGGCTCCAGTACAACTTTTCCTGATGCGCAACACAGTCCAGGTGTTTCATTGGGGAATTTCAACGCCTGACAATATTGGCATACTTTGTTCATTTCACCGATGGAAATTAAAGAATGCGCAGAGTAATTAATATCCGGTGCATATTCAAAGGCAAGACGAACAAATGATCCAAGTTGTAATTCGCGACTGGTTCGCTGTCTTTCATGTTCTTCATGTTGCTGTGCTGACCGAAAACTTCTTTTTGCACGTTTGCGCCGTGCCTCTCTACTACTCGCGGAAAGGTTCGATTTTTTCGGTGGCATTTTACTACAAAAATATTAAATAAATAAATTTCGAACCGGTTACGATGAAAAAATAACATAAAATTATTATAATAATACTTATAATACTACTATTATAAGTATTATTTGAACTATGATAATTTTTTTTTAAAATAAATATAAATATGTTCAATTAATAATTAAATACATACAAAAGATAAAAAGAAATAAAGTCGAACTTACTTAATCAATATCCAAATCAATTTGCGCGATGTTATTCAGTAATATATACGCAAAATTTACAAAAAAATTAACGTGTCTTAGCAGAGATCACAAATTATTACAAACACAAAATATATATCGTTATAATTATGTTGCGCCGTTTTATAGTGTGTAGTGGGTCTAGAATATTCTTTTTATGGCCGATCGAGAATATTCGTGCATATATGTATTTTGGTTGCCTATCCGTCGCGAAGATTCTTGATCGTTCTATTGTCATTACAATTACAATTATTGAAAGAAAATACACGTGGACAGGCGCTATCTATTGGACACTTACATAACTTTAATACCGTTTCATAACGCCATCTATGAGAAAATAATTATTTATATTTATTTATTTTATATTATAAAAAATAAATAAGGCCATCAATCAAAATAAAAACTATCCTATGTTCTAAGTTAGACCTAATCGCACATTTATGCCAAATTTCATAAAATTCGGTTCAGTAGTTTCGGCGTCCATCGCGGACAAAAATCTGACATTAGATTTTATATATATAAGAT